GGAGAAAACAGTGCAACAATGAATGAATGAAAACCCAAAATCTCTGTAAATGTTCATTAAAACGAATAAAATTTAATTAAAAAAAAAGAAAGTAGAAAAGAGAGTGATTCATGAAGAAAGAAATCATCTCTGTAAATACTATTAAGCAATGAAGTAAATTGACAATTAGGAGACACTTCTTACTGGTCAGGTAGGGATTGGTGTCATTCTCAAGACTGGCCCTCAGTCACATTTAAGGTCTGGAACTGAACTCACCCCCATGGAAAGAAATACAGTTAAACAATATAATTACCTTCTGTGAATCTACATTAACTTCCAAATGAAGCTGGTTCTTCTCCAGTGCAGAATGAAATGATTTGAAATGAAATAATATACAAGCAAAGAATATAGACCCATTGATTGAGTACCAATTGTAAATTTGGGCCTGAATTGTATGCTTTGCATTTATTATCTCAACCCTCAGAGGTACGTATCTTTTTAACCACAATTTTATAAATGAAGAAACTAAGACTCAGAAATGTAAAATAACTTTTAAGGTTTATCTAGTTAGTGTACAAGAATTCCTATGGTCTCTATCACAACATGATACTTTATTTTGCAAAAGAAAAATGCACCTACTTATCTTTTAGACTTACCTTTATTTGTTGAATGAGAGTTTCATCCTCAGGCACATTGGGGTCAATTGCAATGACTATGCCTTCATAACCATTCTTATTCAGCTGAATAAGTGAGTTGCCTAGAACTTCTTCCAGAAGGTGAAGAACCAAGATAAAAATAGAAGCCTTAAAGGACCCCATTTCTGCACATTTCCCTTGGGTTTCTCTCTTTGGAAAATGCTAGTGTTAGTTTTGGAGGTGTCTTTTAGCCTTGTATATATGTATGTGTGTGTGTATATATATATATGTATATATTTGTATATACAAACAGATACATTTTCTCAAGTTATCAGAGGTAGTTTATCTTGACCCAAAATTGTTTTATATTGCCTTTGTCTTTAGTGTGAGGAGTGATGATAACTTTGTCTTCAACTCTGTGTACTTTTAAATATTTCTTTTTATAAGAAACATTAGTCTCACCTTTAGCTATGCCAGATGTTGAGAGTGAGGGTGGAGAAGCATACACCCAGTTCTTTGGAAGGACTAACAGGTGATAAGGAGCTTGCCTGGTGAAAGACTTGCTTACGTCTCCCGAATGTTTACCCAGACATGGGCACCAACCCACCCAACCTAATTCTCCTACATCTATTTGGCCAGTGGTAAACAGTTTGTTGGCTTATTGTATTATTGCTTTTTTTAAGTTTGCTATATCCTCATGAAATACAACCCATATACCTAATTATCTTACCATGATGGCTCTTTATTTATATTCCTTCCAACTTTGACTTATAAACCCAAGATCCTCATTACATTTCCTTTAGATAATTCAATTACGCAGCAAGTCACTTTTGACTATTTTGTAATGGGAATAGAAAATGAAATTCATGTATTATTGCATTAGCAGCAATATGTTCTTTTTCCTCTGTAATACAGTGAAAAAAATATATATAGTATATAACTGACTATTGATAGACATTTAGAGTTATTTCCAATTTTACACTATTACAAATAAGACTGCCATGGCCATAAACACTGATTTTGATTAGGTATATTGAGTGGAGAAACTGACACTCACAAGACATACATGTATGGCTTTCATGGATTCTGACAAATACTTTTTCAAATTTAAATTTTATTTTTGTTGTTTTTGAGAATGTATACAGCAGAACATACACCAATTCAACAATTTGTATGAATTCAATTCAGTGATTCTGATAACATTCTTTTTTGTTGTTAGGTGCTGTTAAGGTGACTATGACTCATAGCACCCCTATGAACAATGGATCAGAACCCTGCCCTATCCTGTGCTATCCTCGTCATCTTTGACATACTTGGGCACATTGTTGCAGTCATTGTTTCAATCCACCTTATTAAGGGTCTTCCTCTATTTTTCTAACCCTCTACCTTTTCAAAAATGATGTCTTTTCCCAAGGAATAGCACCTCCTCACTAAAAGCTCAAAGTATATGAAACTAAGTTTCACCATCTTCAACTCTTAAATAGCACCATGGATGCCCTGTCTCAAAGACGTATTTGTTCCTTTGGCAGTTCATGGGATAGTACTCTCCTCCAATACCACAATTCAAAGGAATAAATTATTCTCTGTCATGCTTACTCATTGTCCAACTTTCAGGTTCATAATAAGTTATTGAAAATCCATGGCTTAAATTGAGTGGACCTTGGTCTTTAAACTGGTATTTTTATCACTTTGGAAAGACCTTTGACAACAAATTTTTCTATTTTATCTATTAATTAATGGTTACAAGGGTATTGATTATGGATACAAAAATGACTAAATCATTGACAACATCCATCTTTTCTCCATCTATCATGATGTTGCCCATCGGTTCAAAAGTAAGGATTTTGTTTTGTTGATACTGAGATGTAATGCATAATGAGCATTATTAGAGTTGTGAAATCTTACCTGTTTTCCTGAGTTATTCTCTCTCCTTGTTGACATAATCTTACTAGGCCTAAATTTCCTTCAAGTTGCTATTATCAGTTTGATCTGATATGTTGTTTTTAATTGCTACCAAGTCAACTCTGACTCAGTGACCCTATATACAACAGTTTGAAACCTTGCTCCGTCCACACCATCCTCCAGTGGGCTTAAGCTCATTGTTGCATTAACTGTGTCAATCTTTCTTACTAAGAGTAATCCTTCTCTTCTCTGCCATTCTACCTTTCAAGTATGCTAACTGTCCCTCCCCTTCCAAGGATTGGACCACTGTAGTGTTAGCTTAAAAGGTGGCTTTTTGTAGCCATTATATTGGTCCTTCCAGTTTTCTTAACTATATAATTTTTTAAGTAATGAACATCTGTGGGACTAGAATAAGAGAGAGTGCTTCCCACACAGCATCAAGACTTGAGGGAAATTGGAGTAAGACTCTGTTGGGAACAAGACCCTTGTGTTGAGACCATGGTGATGGTGGTGGAGCTACTGTGACAAAGTGTGGCCAGAGGATCCCTGAGATAAAGGTCACAGTAAAAGATTTTTGCTCTTCTTGCCAGATGCTTGATGAAGCTGGTTTGTCACTAGTCAGGACTGTGCTTATGTGAAGCCTGTACTTGGACCAAGAAGCAGTCCTCAGAACAGAGCAGAGGAACACTGCATGGTTCAAAATCAGAAAGGGAATGCATCAGGGATATGTCCTGTTTCCGTATCTTTTCAATATATATGCAGAATAGATCATCTGGGAAGCTGGGCTTTATGAGGAGTGTGGCCTCAGAATTGGAGGAAGACTCATCAACAACCTACCTCATGCAGATGACACAACCTTGCTTGCTGAAACTGAAGAGGACCTAAAGCATTTGCTGCAGAAGGTCAAGGACTATGGTCTTAAATCTAGATTGAAGCTCAGCATCAAGAAAACAAAGATTCTCACCAGTGGGCCAACTGGCAGCACCACATTAGATGGAGAAGAGATTGAGTGTTGCGGAATATTGGGGAGGAAGGTAGGGTCTCTGGCCAGGACAGATCACCTAAGCTCCAGATAAGTGCAAGCCTCCCAATGGTCTTTAATATGGGATAGAGAAAGCTTTCCTGTGTTTGGCTTTACCAGCTTGAGAAAGCTTGACACCTGGGAAGATGGCTGTCCCGTCTGTTGAGCTGGGAGTGGCCTGCATGAAGCTGAGGTTCTCCTAACCAATCTGAATGCCCCACGTCTGTAAGCCTACCCTATCCTGTCTTCTTGTTTATGTACGTGTACTGCATATCCAAATAAAATTGAGCTGGATTGACTTTCTGATCCTCTCCTGGAGTGGTGTATCTCAGTCATGCTTAACCCCATCAGGGTGTTGCTATTAAGTTGCTGATGAACTGACAGTGACAACTGAGGTTGTTAACAGTTACAGCTTGATCAACTCCACAATCAACACCAGCAGTTGGCACCAGCAGTTAGGAAATCATAAGATTAATTGCATTAGGTAAATCTGCTGTCAGGGACCTTTCTGTAGTACTGAGAATCATCAATGTCAGTCTAGAGACCAAGGTACAATTGATCCAGTCCATGGTCTTTACAATTACTTGTTATACATCAGGGAGCTGGACAATGACTAAAGATGACAGAAAAAGAATTGATGCCTTTGAGCTGTGGTGCTGGAGAAGAGTCTTGAACATACCACGGACTGCCAAGAAACCAAAGAGATCTTAGAGATGGTGAAACCAAGTTACTCCTTGGAGGCAAGGATTTTGAAGCTCCAGCTCACACATACTTTGGGTTTGTGGCCAGAAGGACCAATCATTGGAAAAGGACATCATGCTCTAAAGGGTAGAGGGAGAGTTCAGACAGTTACTCTGAATGAGATGGATTGATTCAGTAACAAGGGCAATGGGGATAGGTGTGTTGGTCATTGAGACTGGCTCAGGATAGGACTGGGTTTAGACCTGTTATACATATAGGGTAGCTATGAGTTGCAGGTGACTTGACAGCACATAATAACAATTACTGGTATTTTGAACTTTTTAAAAATAGTACCATCTGTATATCCTTTATAAAGTATAGTTTAAGTCTTGTTATTGCTTTCTTATTATTACTAATTAATGCCTTTAAGCTGTGGTGTAGGAGAAAAGTCTTGAACATCCCATGGATGGCCAAAAGAACAAACAAATATGTCTTAGATAGGGTGCAGCCAGAGTACTCTTTGGAGGCAAACATAATAAGGTTTCACCTCACATACTTCAGGCATATTGCTAGAAGAGGCTATGCCTTGGAAAGGGACATGATGCTGGTAAAGGTGGAGGGTTGGCAAAGGAGAAGAAGACCCTCAACCAGGTGGATTGAAACCGTGACTGCTGCAATGGGCTCTTGTGTGTTGGGAAGTGTGAAGATGACACAAGATAGAACAGGATTCAGATCTTTTGTTCATAGGGTTGCTATGAATCTTATTCGTTTGATTCAGCAGAACCTAACAAAAATTATGTTTCATCTTGAATTAATTCTCTGGCAGGAATAAATTAAGAGTTGTGGTTCATTTTCTATACAGATATTCAATTGTCCCACTATCATTTATTTAAAAGATTTTCCCTATTAAATTTCCTTAGTGATTTTGTTAAAAATGATACCTGTATAAGCCCATTTCTGGACTTTCAATGTTGTTCCTATAATTCTCCATCTATATGTATGTCAATGCCATATTTCCTTGATTACTGCTGATTGAGATAAGGCTTAGGTTTTTGTTTTAGTTGCTATTAAGACAGCCCCAATTCATGACCTTCTTTGTAACAGAATAAGGCATTTCCTAGTCCTGCGCCATATTTGTTATTATTGTTCTGTTTTAAATAATTGACACTTATTGTTAGCAAGAGTCTGCAGAAAATTATCCAAAAACTACTGAAACAGCACATCAACAGAGTACTGCTAGATATGCAAGCAAGCTGGGTTTAGAAGAAGCTGTGGTACTAGGGATATTATAGCTAATGTTAGATGGATCTTGGCTGAAAGAGAGTCTACCTGTATTCCATTGGCTATGCAAAGTCATTTGACTGTGTGGCTCACAACAAACTTTGACTAACTGAGAAGAATCCCAGAACTGTTCTGGAATCCCAGAACACTTGATTGTGCTTAAGAGAAACCTAGTTGAACCAGAGACAGTAGCCAGAACAAAACAAGAAAACACTGCATGGTTCAAAATTGGGAAGGGTAGATGCCAGGGATGCATCCTGTCTCCATATCTTTTCAATCTATATGCAGAACAGATCAT